TTGCTTATTTCGTTTGTCCGCTCTCTTCTACCCCACAGGAATGTGAGCCTTAGGAGAACCTGGAAAGTGGGGTGCTCAGTAAGTTTCCGATGTCTGGCCCTCACTGAGAGTGGGGCTCATTCACCCGGGCCCAACCAGACAGAGACTCCAAGTCCTAAGTCTTCTCTCAACCCACCTACGTCTTCGGACAGTCCACCCTTCCTCCAGGCCGCCCCAGGGTGTCTGTCCCCTTCCCTGGGCCGGACCCAACCACAGTCACAGCACCAACAGTGGTAACAGTGACCCGTCTCCTGTAGTCTATCTGCTCCACCCCATCAAGAAAATTCATTTTTAGTGGACATCCCCGTAAAGCCAGCCCTGCCAGCCATAGGCCCAAAGCCCAGAGAATAAGGGTGATGAGCCTGGCGGTGCGGTGGAGCCCTGAGTCTCCCCGAGAAGGAATTACCAAGTTTGCAGGTTTGCTTGCTCAGCGGTCTCCTCCTGCTGCCAGGAGGGCAGACCCTAGGCTCTGCCACGACCTCCCCAAACCCCCAAACCTGTCGGGCACATGGTGGTCACTCGGCAAGGATCTGCTAAAATAGACAAGCGAGAGGGTGCAGGAATCGATGAGACCATGGGCTGTGGCAAAGCATCTCCGGGCCTCCTGCCCCGTGGCCCCCTCGGGGTCTGTATCCTCACTCCCCAGCTGGTTGGGGGGCTGCCGTGTGTGGGCCCGCTGAGTCAGGCCCTACCCTGGGCAAGGGGCCACCACGGCTCTCACGGATTTTGCTGACGGGGCTGAAAATGCGTCTGCACCTCCCTCTGCGACCCGCCATTACTCATGGTTGGCATTTATCCCCAAGCAAGGGGTGACCCGCGGAGCAGCCCGAAGCCTCCCGTGTGTTCTGAAGAAGGGGCGGCTTGAGGCTGGGCTGTGAGGAGGCGCCGCAGGAATGGCGAGCAGCTGCTCTGAGTGCAGTGACCACATTTTTCTGAGCTGAAAAATTAGGACACAGGATGTAGCTGAGGGTTTTCTCAGATTTGTTCATTTAATGAGTAGGAAAATCTTACGGAGGTATGAACGTTACGCGTATTTTGTTATGTAGGTAATGGATTGTCTTCATTGAAAAGAATCTGAGTTTCCAAAACCGGGGAGATTCTGGAAATTAATGATTCAATGCGACTAATATCTTGGGAGCATCTGGGTCAACACCGTCCTTGGTGCTTGCACTATAATGGGGGACAATACAGGCGTGATCCTGGCCTCACGGAGCTCACGTGTGGAGGCTGACATTCCTCAGGTAATTTTGCGAGCAGCCCCAGAGGTGCTATGGGGGATTTATAGGGCTGTGAGGACCAAGAGTTCTCATGCAGACAGGGGGTGGAGATGTCAAGGGGAACTTTGAAGACATAATGTTTGAGGTGAGACAGAGCCTTTTCGGAGTTAACTAGTGAAGGGATGTGACTGGAGTGAGGAAGCACATTTCCGGCAGGATGAAGAGCACGTGCAAAGGGCCTGTGGCAGAAAGGCCGCTGGGTGTGCGAGGGCAAGGAGGGCAGCCCAGGTGACTGGAATGTGATGAGTGAGGGGAAGAGGAAGCTGGAGGTGTTAGCAGGGACCAGTCCAGGCAGTGCCCACCCATCCATAAGAGTGTGGTGGACTTTCTCCTCTTGGCAACGGGGCCCTATGGACTGTCTGACATAGATGTGACCGGCCCGTACATCTGGATGTTGATGACAATGAGGACGATGATAATATTGGTAACTACGGAAGTGTTTACTGAGCGCTCACTATGTGCCAATCACCATTTCAGCCATTTGAGAGATGAGGAAAGTGAGGGCTGGGAGGGGAAGTGACTTATCCTAGGTCACACAGCTGTCAAGTGACAGAAATGGAGGTCAGGCTGAGCCTGTCTAGCTCCAAAGTCCCTGCTTTTGTCTCACACACAAATCTGCCCTTGTCTGGACATGAAAGGTCAAAGGACATGCAAGTGACCCCCCCCGCCTCCCGTCCCTCTTGCCTTGCTGTGGTTCTGCCTCCTCTCTGCTCTGTGTCTTAGGTCTGGGTGAGGACTCTAGGTCACAGGGTCAGCTGGGGCTGGAAAGGCCCAGCTCAACTCTAGGCCCAGCAGGGGAAGTAGGGGATGCAACATTAGAGGCTGAAGTTCTGGAGAAGGTGGGACCCCAGCCAGGGTCGGGGCCTCTACCGCACCCTGCTCAGTGGAGCACAGCTCCAGGAGCACAGCCTGCTCACCTGTTTGGGAGTTGAAGACTTCGAGATGCAGCTACACTATCCCCGGGAGAAGGGCAGCACCCCGGCCCCCTGCTTCCTCCCGTGGAAGCAGGTCCGGGTGGTTGCACCACTATCGACTCACCAATGGCCTTAAAAAATCCTTATTCCTTCCGCGATCATCAGGGACATGCGAATCAAGATAGTTCACACCTGTGAGAACGGCTCCTATCGACGACCAGAGAAGAACAAGTGTTGGCGAGGATGTAAAACGGTACAGATGCTGTGGAAAACAGTATGGCGGTGCCTCATCGATTTAAACAGAATTACCATACGACCCAGTAATTCTACTTTGGGTTATAAACCCAAAAGAATTGAAAGCAAAGTCTCGGATATATGTACACCATCACTGCAGCGTTATTCACAACGGCCAAAAGGTGGAAACAACCCAAGTGTCCATCGACAGACAAAGAGATGAACAAAATGTACATATATACAATGTAATATTACTCAGCCATTAAAAAAAAAAAATGAAATCTTACTATTTGCGACATGAATGGACCCAGAGGGTATTATGCATAGTAAAATAAGTTAGAGAAAGACAAAAACTATGTGGTTTCTACTTATATGTGGAATCTAAGGAACAAAATAAATGAACGAACAAAATGAAAACAGACTCTTAGAGACAGAGAACAAACTGGTGATTGTCAGATGGGAGGCAGGGAGGTTAGGAGCCTAGGTGAAGAAGGTGAAGGGATTAAGATGGAGTTCTGGAAATGGATGGATGGTGAACGTACTTACCTGTACACTTAAAAATGGTTAAGATGGTAAATTAAAGAAAAGAATCCTTATCCTAAGTTCTCGCAAGTTGTCGACGGTGGGCTTTCTTTTATTATGTTGCATTTATAGTAAATTAAAGTACCAGATGGCAGCTGTCATTAGAGCAGTTTAGAATCGAAGATGCTGGTGCTCCTGGGCAAGTGACCTCATCTCTTGGAGCCTCAATTTCCTCGGGAGGAAATGGGGGTAATGATGGTGCCTCCCTGCCGGGGCCACTGTGCGGATTCTGTGATGCCCCCGAGGAGGCCTGCCCAGCGGCAGGCCGGTGTCCAGCAAGCGCCCAGCACCCTGCACCCCTGAGTACTGGCGGATATTCCTCAGGCTGTGGGTTTGGGAACATGAGCAGCACAGGCCTGAGACAGAGGAGAAAAGGCTCCTTGCCCCACTGTACAGCGGGGATACAGAGGCCTGGAGGATTCAGGAGACTTGTCCAAGGTCTCTCGGCTTCTCTTGAACCACTTTTCCAAACGTGTATCAGTTAGCAAGGCTAAGTTGTGCTGCAGTAACAAATGAGCCTCACGTCGAAGTGTCTCAACTCAGCCAAACTTTGTTTTACACCCAGTCTGCCATGAGTCCAGGTGATTCACCAGGGCAATTGCCCTCCATGTGAAAACTCAGGGATCCAAGCTGCCTCCGTCTTGGGGTGCCTCCATCTCCAGGTCACTGAGGCAGAGAAAAGAGCATCACTTCCTCCCAGAACCCACGGGCCAGCACTGGTCACAGGGTGGCGGGTCCTGAGAAGGAAAGAGAGGAGAACCAGTTGTGGGTGAGCCGTGGGAGTTCCTACCCACCATCCGAGTGGGGTGAAGGCCGGCGGATGGCTGTTTCCAGGGCATACACGTTCACAGTGAACTGAGTCAAAGAGCAAAGGGCTTAAAGCTAGAATTATTCCCCCGCCTACCCAACCCCCAGTTCTCTTCTTGGGCAACCAGTTACCAGGGCTATTCTGGGAGCGGTGAGGCGGTGGCTTAGAGCCAGGTGTGTATCAGAGGTGCTTCTCTTGAAATGCAAATAAAAGTTTATTGTTCTTTTCTCCTCCTTGGAAAAGCGGGCAGGTATTTGTCACAGCCCCTGCTCTTCCTCTGGGCAGCACCTCTGCATTTATATAATCGGTCCCCGAATGGGTGTCCAAGCGCTTCCCAAATTCTGTTATTATAAACAGCGATGCAATGAATTTCCTGTGCCTTTTCTCTCGTCACCCAAGTGGTATAAATTCCTAAAAATGGAATCGCTCGGTCAAAGGGCACTGAACAATCTGACAGTTCTCTGCCAGCAGGTGCGGGCTCCAGGGTCACTAGGAGCTTTTAAGAATAGCTGCGAATGGAGCCCAGTGGATTCCAGGGACCTGGCGAGTTCTCTGTCCCAGGGGGTTCCAAATGGGACACTGAGTTGGGGAAGTGGAAAGAGAGGGTGTCCTTCCCACCTAGACTCTGTGATCCCAGTTCTCATGCTGGTGCTCTCCCAAACCCATTGCGCAGACGGCAAACACTGAGTTCCGAGAGGCTGAGTCACCGCCTGCAGCTACCCAGCAAGCAGCAGCTGAGCTATGGTCCCAGCCTGGGCTGAGTCCTCTTGGGCTCCAAGTCCCAGTTCCTGACTGGACACCTACCTCATGCGGACTTTCTTTACTGGCTCCTCTCAAGGGCATGAATGTACCCCCAAGAACTTTCTTTTGGCAAGTTTCTGAAACTCATCTTGGCTTCCTCGGGACTCATCGGGTCCAGTTCTTTGGCCTGTCCAGCTGCAAAGCCATCGGCCTCTTCCTTTGTCCCGTCGTCGTCTTCATATGTGCTTCATCTCTTTGCAAGAGCATCTTGGTGTTTACGAAATTGGGTCTTGTTGATTTTTTCATTTTCTTTCTTTTTTTTGGATAACTTCACTGGTGTTTGTGGGGGGGGGGGCGGGAAGAGAAACACTCTTCTTGTAAAATAAATAAATAAATCCAGGCAACACTGAACACTGCCAGCAAGAAAGTAAACATCCCCAACACTCCCTGCCCAGAGATGACTATGGTTAACGGCTGGTGAATGAAAGTCTGCAGATTCTAAATATCTCTCTACCTCCCCCCGCACCACCACCACCCCCAATGATAATGAAAATCTCTACCTTTCTCACCACAGGTGGGGTGTATGGGTCACCGGGGTGGGTCTGAAAATCTTCATTAGTTCCCTCCCCTCCGAGCACCCCGCATCCTTTATCCCCAGCCTCACCTGAGCCTCCCCTGCTCCTGCTTCCAGGTCCTACAGGGTTGGTACCAACTGAGCAGGTGCTAGGGATGTCCCCACCTCCAAAGAGAGTTCCATCCGCTCCACGCCTGTCACCTTCCAGACCCCAAGAGGCTGAGACCCGGCGGGAAGGCAGGTTGGCCTCTGTCTGCTCTGTCGCTGTGTCTCCCACCCCACACACCATCCAACACGACACGGACTTTCTAAGCGCAGAGTGGGACCCAGCTCGGGCGTGGGTGTTCTGAGTATCCAGGTCTCCTCGGTGAGGTGGAGGCGTCCACCCCACTCCTGGGAGCGCTCGCTCCTCTAGGAAAGGAGGGGTCACAGCTCAGGTCTGACCAGCGCCCGGCCTGGCTTGGTTTCTCTTTGAGGAGTCATGACTTGGGTGGTGGCCCCAGGACCCAGTGTAACACAGACGTGAGGGTGGGGGTGGGGGAGAGAGTGAGCTATAAGGGAAATGGGCATATTTCCCTATAAAATGGCAGCCCTGCTTTGGGGCCCCTCGGAGGGACAAGGGCCTGGTACTTTGGGGACATCCTTCTGGGAGTGGCAAACACCCCACCAGGGGTGAGAGAGGCCCCTGGCTTCAGGGCGGGTATGTGGAGGGCACGGCAGTGTGACCTTGAGCAAATCACCTTAAGTCTCGGAACCCCAGTTTCTTCACCCACTTTTTTAAAAACTGAATGCAATGCACCTCATAAAGCGAGGATCCTAGGAGGGGCCTCCCTATATCACAGTTTTGTTTTTGTCCACTTTCCCCTGGGGTGGCGGCCGGGGCGAGCTGAGATACATAAGTGGAAGGACCGCAGGAAGCCACAGTTCTCCGTCCCAAATGGCTCCTAATTATTTACAACAGGGCATTTCCAACAGGTTTTTTTACACCTATCTTTGCCTTCTAACTTTGTGCCTTATTCTTTCTCAAAATAAATCTTACCCAAGGGATCAGCCCTGAAGGAAGCAGGGGTGAGGGATGAGAGCCCACCCACCTGGCCCTCTTTACCCTTCCTTCCTCCCTCCCCCCAACCCCCCTGGGATTTATGAAAGGCTTGAATTACTATTTTAGGCCAGCAAGGGTGACGATGGCCAGAGGAAGTAGAAGGGGCAAATAGGTATCCAGAGGGGTCATTTCCCCAGCACATTTCTCACTGAGCTTACTAGAAAGACGGAAAGAAGTCTTTAGATCAGAGATGGATGTGTCTGAAGGTCCTATAGGGCTGGAGTCACCAAGCTGGTGCAGGATGGGTAACTCTGACCCCACAAGCCACCCTCCCTCTGAGGGCTCTGAGATGGCCTAGGATGTGGATATGGATGAGGTCACCCCTCTGCATCGCCGGAGCCAGACTCAGCCAGAATGGCCATTAGCCGCTGTCCAGTCACCTGGTGCGGGGGACGTCCCCAGTGCTGAGCCTCAGCTTCCTCGTCTGTAAAACGGGGCAGTAGTCATTGTGCTCTAGATGAGAGGGGCGTGAGGCGGATGCAAGGAGCCAGGATGCAAGGAGCCGTAAGGCCTAGAGCACCGCGCCTGGCACCTAGCAAGTAACGCACCGGTAGCCGTTACGGCTCAGACAGCAATAATAAGGATCCTAAGCAGGTGAGGGCTGAAAGGAGCCTTGGAACTCTCGCCCGAGACGGGAGCGGGACTGGGTGAGGGGTCCAGCAGCAGAGTCCGGACTTGAACCCAGAATCCGACATCAGGGCCTCCTTTCCCAGCCTTAAGGGGAAGGCCAGGTGAGCGGAGGCCACCCTCCACCTGCAGCACCGCATGGGGAGAAAGGGTTCAGATCCCCGAAGGGTCCCCAAAGGTTCGCTCTGGTTTCCCGGCTGGTCTCGGCTGGTCTCAGCTGGTCGTGGTGGCAGGGGAGGCTCTGCTCCAGAGCCCCGCCCCCGCCGTGTTGATTCCTGTGGCTATTTGGTCTGGACAATCTGGAGGCTACGTGGGGGGTGGGGGCAAGGGGCGGTTGGGCACAACTTGACAGTGGGGCAGGGAACAAATGCTGCTTAGACTCTGACATGTGTACAGCATGTAGCAGTTTGCAGGGGGAGGGCCCTCGTTCTTGGTCAAGGGGAGAGAGGCATCACTGGCCCAGTTTGCCAGTGAGGAAACTGAGGCACTCTGCTCCAGGGCCACCGACCGATACTGGGTGTGGTCTGCGCCTGGCACGCTATGACTGCCTTGGGGGTCCTGGGCTGAGTTTAGGAGCTCACATCATGCCTTTATGACTGGTACCCTGTTCCTCCTTAGTGCCTGGTTAGCTGTGGGAATTGGTCCGAGGGGCCTTGACACCTTCCAGACTCCCAAACAGACCCGAGAGAGGGTTTGGCCCTAGAGAGTAGTTAGTCCCTGGCCCCATCCCAGAGAGGAAAACCGAGGCGCTTGTCCGGGTCTCGTGGGAAGCGGTGTGGCCTCTGCCCGGGAC